CAAGATCTAACCCAGGGGTAGGCAACCTTGGCTCTTTTATGACTTGTGGACTTCAACTCCCAGAATTTCTGAGCCAGCCTGGCTCAGCTTGGAAACCTCTCCCTTTCCCCTCAGCATGGCTGGCTCAGGAATTCTGGGAGTTGAAGTCCACAAGTCATAAAAGAGCCAAAGTTGCCTACCCCTGACCTACACTATGTTTCTCAACTGTGGCCACTTCCACTTTTGTGAACGTCAATTCCCAGAATTCTGGGAGTTGAAGTCTACATACCATCAAGGGGCCATGGTTGAAGAAACACTGGTCTGTCTTCTCTCTCTCCAGTTCGCCAACATTTAGGAAAAGTAGGTTTAAAGGAATCAAGTTCCCTAATGCTGCTTTGTACCAAAAAGGGAGAGAAAAAAAATGACAAATGTTTTTTGTTCTCATACCTGGAAATTCTAATTCAAAATAGGGTGCATCTGAGTTTATACATCACATTGAAGCCTAACCCACTCATCACGTTATTGTTTAATGCAATCTGTGACTCTAATGCCTTGCCACATGGATGCTTATCTAAGACAGAGCCATGGGGGTGTCAAGGTCTGCAGAAAACCTGTTCCATACTCAATAAGCAACTTTTTTTATTTGTCTTAAAACTCAGTAGCATCGGCTGGAGTGATTTAAAAAGTGGAGGGCACAGCAATGCAGATGAAGGATTTATAAAGAGTCAGGTCACGTGCACGGTGTAAAAATTAAATAATGCTGCCGTGATTGCCATCTTAAGGGTTTTTTTTTTTTTTTGGTTTCCTGTTGGAGATCGTACTGTCCCCGAGGTAGAACATTATGGGATTGTCAGTACACTGCTGATTCAACTCCCATTAATATAGGAAGGTAATTTAAAGAACTGGGAGATGCAGTATTGCCAAGAAGATGCCAGTCTTGCTTCCAGTCTGAAGACAAGCTGCAGATATTTGAAACTTGCTTAAAATTGATCAGAGCAGGGAGATGGATTTTTTTATATATGATATTATGTTCCAAGATTACCCTAACGGTGTCAAATCTACTTAATTTGATTATTTCATTTTCTTGGTGGGATTATCCTGAATTAATTGCATATAAAGTGGCAGCCTAAAAGAAATATTTAAGAGAGTAAAATGATTTGACATTGTTAGATGATTTTTTTTTCTCCTGTGAATTATATGGTCTCTTCTTTACATGTTGGCCATTTGGTTTTAATGAGACATTTTTTTTTCATTCTTTGAATAATAATCAAATCAGTTGATGGTGTCTAAACTTTCCAGCAAACTTGGAAAGATAATCAGTTGAAAGAACAGTGCTATAGGCATTTTCGTTATTTAGAGAAGCAAGATGAGCAGCAAATAAATTTAATAAATAGATACACTGTCAATATGTAAGTATGACTGATATTTTTAAATTGCTCATTTAAAAATCAATGTCTGAAGATTTATTTTTAGGATTTAAATGCCTTTTAACAATTGATAGATTGTAGTTTGACATCCAGTTTGGATATTTTAAATTTAAATTATTTTATTTATTAAAATCTATTTCTTCTCTTTATTTCTCTGCTAATTTTAGGCTGAAGAATTGTCCACTTATAAAGCGATAGTTTGGATTGCATTTCTGGACTCAAAAGAGATCTCCTCTGTGATGGCAGATCATCCATGTAAAGCCTTGTTAATGTCATGTAAATATACACCGTTTATTTCGGATTTGTTTATTTCTTTTAATTTCAAAGTTAAAAAAAAAAAGAAAAGCCAAAATTCTGCAGAGTGCAAAAGATTGTATTCTGCAAAGGACAATTGCTGCATTTTAATGATAAAAGCATGAGGAAATTTAAATAAACTAAATTTATCAATCTTTCACCCTTCGCTGTCCAATGTTTTGTGGAGAGATCTTAAGTGCAGAGGTGAGAAGGATCCGTTTTAGAATGAGTTGGAGGGAGCAAACTCTTCTCAGCTGTGCTGAGTTGTCCCACAACAAGCTGGCTGTGGCTAGTTGGCTGTGCCGACTTGACCCATTCTGATCTGACAGATGTGAGTGGCTATTGGTTGGGGTGCACAGCTGCTTTGATGAGCTGGAGGTCCCGGCAGAAATATTCACCCATTGAATACCCAAGAAAATTAGAAGTACCAAATAAAACAAGGGAAACACATTGACTCTTAAAACAGCTTGAGTGACACTGTGCAAAGACAGATGCCCAAAAAAACCCAACAGCGATACAGCTACACTCTCTTTGAACAGCCAATGTGGCAAAGTGTTCTTAATACACTCTGTGAAAATTCAAGTCAGCTCCAGGTTTAGGAGCATCTTGCCCTAAAATCTCCCACATAATTCCCAGATCTGGTCCTGGCAGGATGGGAAGACAAAAACAACGCAAGACAAAGATGTCCGAGAAAATAAACTATGTTGGGAACAAAGAAGAAAAGAGGGCATTAATCCTGCTTGCCAAAGGCCTGGGCGAAGAGCCAGTCTTGGGGGCTCTTTGAAATACCATCTGCCATTTGTGTTCACTGACCCAGTTCTGGGGTTTCATTCGTTGCCCAAGGAAGCCTCTGATGATTATTTTTTTCTTCTCTCAAAGCTTCAATTTATCTTTTGCTGCTTTTTTCACAGCCCTGGAGACTATACAGGTAGTCTCCAACTTATGACCTCAGTTGAGCTCAACATTTCTCTTCCTAAGCAAGACAGTTGTTAAACGAATTTTGCTCCATTTTACAACTTTCCTTGCCAGAGTTGTTAAGCAAATCTCTGCAGTTGTTAAGTTACTAACACAGTTGTTAAGTGAATCTGGCTTCCCCATTGAACTTTGCTTGTCATAAAGTCGCAAAAGGGGATCCCATGACCCCGGGACACTGCGACCGTCGTAAGTAGGAGTCAGTTGCCAAGGGGCTGAATTTTGATCATGTGACTGCAAAGGTCGTAAGTATGAAAAACCATCATAAGTCACTTTTCAGTGCCGTTGTAACTTGGAACGGTCCCTAAGTGAAAAACTGTTGTAAGTTGAGAACTATCTGTTAACTTGTGGACTTCTGGCTGAGGAATTCTGGGAGTTGAAGTCCACAAGTCTTAAAGTTGCCAAGTTTGAAGACCCTTGCTCTAGTCGGAACGGTGCTCTTCTCTGTTTCTTTAGGCCCCTGAGCCTAAAGAAGACCTTTCCGCGGTCATACGGCCAGCGTGACAGTCACCCCGCAGCGCAAAGCACAGGGCAAAACATGGGACGTTGTTCCAGCCCTTCGTTTAGCGATTATTTACAATTGCGCTGAAAAAAGTGGCAATCGGTCCTCGCAGTTAAAACTGTCACACCACCCCCGTGGTCCCATGATCAAAATTCAGGTGATGGACAACTGGCACGTATTTATAACAATTTGCTGAAGAACTATGATTCATCTAACAAGGGGAGCAACAATTCACTCAAGCACCAAGGGGGAAAAGGTGGTGAAAAATTGGCAGGACTCGACAAATAATAATGATGATAATGATGATGTTGGAAGGGATCTTGGAGATCATCTAGTCCAACCCCCTGCTCAGACAGGAGACCCTATACCATTTCCGACAAGTGGCTGTCCAATCTTTTCTTAAAAACCTCCAGTGTCGGAGCATTCACCACTTCTGGAGGCAGGTTGTTCCATTGGTTAATTGTTCTAACTGTCAGGAAGTTTCTCCTTAGTTCTTGATTGCTTCTCTCCTTGATTAGTTTCCATCCGTTGCTTCTTGTCTTTGCCTTCAAGCGCTTTGGAGACTAGCTTGAGAATAGCTTTGGAGAACAGTGCCTAGCTTAGCAACAGAAATGCTGATCCCAGCTGTGGTCATAAGTCAAGGACTGCCCGCGTTTGGTCTCTCTAAGAGCTGGCAAGGTGGATGGCACACTCCACTGATAATACACCAAAAGCCATCTGCACCCTTACACCCCTACCTGGCCCAAGGGGGGGGGTCAGCTTTTCTAAAAGCCCCCATCCCTGCTTTGCCGGCTGGAGAACCTGCCTCTAGAGCAGTGTTTCTCAACCTTGACCATTTTAAGGCATGTGGACTTCAACTCCCAGAATTCCACAGCCAGCATTGCTGACTGTGGAATTCTGGGAGTTGAAGTCCACATGCCTTAAAATGGTCAAGGTTGAGAAACACTGCTCTAGAGAGACCCCGCTGGAAGCCAGAAGCCGAAACGGGGCTGATTAAAAGGGGAGATCAACGAGAGAGGGAGCCCCTCGCCCCCCCCCGGCCCCCAATGACCAGCCCCCCCCCCTCCAGAAGGCTCCGCTTGGACTTTGCTTTGAAAAGCGACGTTGGTTTCGTTCCTTTCCGCCTCGGAAGATCGGAGGATCCTTCGTCAGCTGTACCCGACTTGGAGGCCCCCCCCCCCCGCTTCCCCAACTTCGCCTAAAGTTACTGGAAGCCTTGAAATCGCAGCCGCCGCGAGCCCCTCCGCCGAGCTTGGTCGGTTGCTAAGATCCGCCCGACGAGCCAGCCAGCGAGCGAAGAGAGCGAGCGGGCAGCGACTTCCGAAGGCAGGAGAGGAGAAAGGAAAGGAAAGGAAAGGAAAGGAAAGGAAAGGAGGGGGCAGAGGAAGGGGAAAGTAAAGGGGAAGGGAAAGGAGAGGGGTAAAGGGAAGGGAAGGGGAAGGGGAAAGAAAAGGGAAAGGGAAAGAATAGGAGTAGAGGAAAGAAAGGGAAGGGAAGGGAAGGGGAAAGGAAAGGAAAGGGGAAGAAGAAAGGAAAGGGAAAGGAAAGGGGTAGAGGAAAGAAAGGGAAAGGGAAGGGAAGGGGAAAGGAAAGGGGAAGGGAAAGGAGAGGGGTAGAGGAAAGGGAAGGGAAGGGGAAGGGGAAAGAAAAGGGGAAAGGAAAGGGAAAGGAAAGGAGTAGAGGAAAGAAAGGGAAGGGAAGGGGAAAGGAAAGGGAAGGGAAGGGGAAAGGAAAGGAAAGGGGAAGAGGAAAGAAAAGGGAAAGGAAAGGAGTAGAGGAAAGAAAAGGGAAGGGAAGGGAAGGGGAAAGAAAAGGGAAAGGGAAAGGAAAGGGGTAGAGGAAAGAAAGGGAAGGGGAAGGGAAAGGAGAAGGGTAGAGGAAGGGAAGGGGAAAGGAAAGGAAAGGAAGTCCTTCCTCTCTGCTCCGAGATGCCTCTGCAGTCACCCAGTGAGGACCCCCTGGACACCAGGGCCCCCGAGGAGAAGGCCTGGGAAGGGGACCAGGAGAAATTGGCCAAGGTGGGGAATTGCCACAAGCAGGAAAAGAGAGGTGGAGATGGGGAGGGCAACATCTGCGTGTGGGGCTCCAAGGGAAACCTCCTCCTCCTCCTCCAACCTAGAGCCCTGCAGCTGTGGTGGAAGTTGGGACTACAGCCCCCATCCCCCCCACCTCACGCTTCCTACTGACTGGAGAGAGTGACTGTAATGCCCTGCATCTGGAGAGCAGTAGGTTGCAGAAGGCCGGGAGATTAGAGATCTCAGTAAAAGTAGGGTTTATTTTGTTATTTCTTTGGATGGGGGTTCTTTATACCTGACTCTGTGTGGCAAGCAAAGTTTAAAAAGAGCAGCAGAACAAATAATAATACTACTACTAAAGAATTCAAAACAATAAAAGCAGGAACACCATGAAAACCATAAAACATAACCAGGTTAATTCTGTTTGGTGTGAGTTATTGGGGCACTAATTTTACGGAGCCTAATGCTGGGAAAGATTGAGGGCAAGAGAAGAAGGGGATGACAGAGAATGAGATGGCTGGATGGAGTCACTGAAGCAGCAGGCGTGAGCTTAAAGGGACTCCAGAAGATGGTAGAGGACAGGAAGACCTGGAGGAACGTTGTCCATGGGGTCGCGATGGGTCGGACACGACTTCGCAATTAACAACAACAATTTTACGGATCATTTTGCTCCCTATTCCCTGCCCCCCTCAGGTTTAGTTGGCTGGATGAGTTTCTAGGAAGTGGAGTCTTATTTTTCATAGTAAAGTCCCTCCTTGTGGTGGCCCTCTTGGAGAAGAACCTTTCTCTCCTTAACTACGGTTCTCCCAACCTAATCTTTTCCTTTCTCCAACAACAATCCTGCAGAGACAGCCACATTGAAAGGGGTGGGACAAAGACCACGAGAATCACAGACCACGCCCCCCCCTTAAGGAAGCAGCAGGATGAATCCAGGATGGCTGGCATGCTATTTCCAATTTGGTTAAAAATCAATGTGGGTAATAATAACATCAGCATGTCTCCTTAATGGATGTTTTCATCATCAGAACTCCTTTAATCTTAAATATTGTGTAAAAGGCATAATGGTTCCAATGCTAGATCAAAATTTATTTATTGTTTAGCAAAAAAAAAAAAAAAAGAGAGAGAGAGCCACCCAACTCATATATACAGTCCTTTTCTCCAGCCAGCAACTTTGCTACAAGGCAGAATGGGCTAATATAGAGATTTAGGCTGGGTTAATAATAATAATAATAAAAATAACAATAACAACAACAACAATAATAATAATAATAAAAATTGGAAGGGACCTTGGAAGTCATCTAGTCCAACCCCCTGCTCAGGCAAGAAACCCTACACCATTTCAGACAAATGGCTGTCCAGTCTCTTCTTAAAAACTTCCAGTGTTGGAGCATTCACCGCTTCTGGAGGCAGGTTGTTCCACTGGTTAATTGTTCTCACTGTCAGGAAGTTTCTCCTTAGTTCTAGGTTGCTTCTCTCCTTGATTAGTTTCCATCCGTTGCTTCTTGTCTTTGCCTTTGGGTGCTTTGGAGAATAGCTTGACTCCCTGTTCTTTGGGGCAGCCCCTGAGATATGGGAACACTGCTATCCTGTCCCCCCTCGTCCTTCTCTTCGTTAAACTAGACATACCCAATTCCAGCAACCGTTCCTTGTATGTTTTAGCCTCCAGGCCTCTAATCATCTTTGTTGCTCTTCTCTGTAGTACGTTGTAGTAAGCCAAAAGAGAACAAACATATATTGTGCCTTAATCTCAAATATAACCCCAGCTTTAAAACGTAATTGCAATCTAATGTTCAGCACTCATCTGAGCTGCTTTGACCCATGAGCGAGATACGAGTTTTCAGAACAAAAAGTACATCTCACTAGTTTATTTTGGTCTTTGTTATCCTTTTGTAGCTAGTGCTTTCTCCAGGAAAAATTACAAGATAAAAATGAGCTATCTTGGTTTATCCACAGATTCATTTCAAAATTTTAAAAGGCCATACCGATGCCGTGACTTCCTGTCATTTTTGTTTTGACGATACCAAAATTATTTCAGGCTCTTTCGATACCACAGTGAAACTTTGGGTAAGTTTATTTGAAGTGCATAAGCACACAACTGCATGATCCCACGGCTCTCAAGTCTAAAACGTAATTTAATACAGGTAAACAAAGGCTACATTTTTTCATGACTGAAAATCCTTGCCAGAGTTTTATAATGTCTCTAAATTATGAAGAAAAACTGTGAATATATAATTGAAGAACTTAATTACAGCACCCAAACCTAAACCAGGTATTGTTATAGCTTTATACCTGCCTTCTCCCTCTTCTGTTGGGCTAGTCCAATTCTGGTGATCCGCTGGAAATTTTAAGAACCCCTATTTTGATATACTGGATGTACTATTAATTAGAATTAAATGGCAGTCTTTGTTCACTCCCAGTGTGCAATTTGGTAATCAACCTTGTCTTTATTGAAGGATATTGCCTGTTCTATTTGCATCCACACCTTTAAGGATCAACATACTGGACCAGTTTCAGAATGTTGTCTGACTCATGATAATCGAAGGTAATTGTTGTATTGTATCTTATGCATGAGCTTTAAATGTATATTATTATTATTAGATATTTACCTGAATGGAACCTTGTGATAGGGTCTTGCTTAGGACAATTGGAAAAGACCAGGGAATTTCCAAGCAGGAAAATTTAATTTTAATAGACAGCTTTTGCACAGCTTATACATTCCCTTTAAGGGAAATATTGCCAAGATGCTAAGGTTTCTCAGTCTGGCTCAGAAAAGAGAGTAAAGGAATTATCTGGATCATGACCCTTGGAGAGCTTAATCAGGAATTGTTTTGTGCTGCATTTATTTGCCAATGCTTGTGCCAAGGGCCGATTGGAGGTGTAAGATTTTAGTAAGATGCTCAAAAGCCATGTGATCTTCCTTCCTTCCTTCCTTCCTTCCTTCCTTCCTTCCTTCCTTCCTTCCTTCCTTCCCTCCCTCCCTCCCTCCCTCCCTCCCTCCCTTCTTTCCTTTTATATTTAATTTCTTCAAAAGAGAGATCTGGTTCAATTCCAGCCTGTCAATCTGTTTAATTTTTAGGTTAATAACAGCGTCGTATGATAAAACCCTAAAGGCCTGGGATACTGAAACAGGAAAAATGCTTGTATGTATCGATTTTATTCTATGCTGTTTTCAAAAAACCAACTGAAGAACTTAAAACTAGATTTTGGTTTAACCAAATGTTTATCCCTACCAATATCTACCTGAATTTCTGGTAGATGGAGAAAGGGATGGATGAGAATATTTATCTGGGCCACTGGCCAACCAGCAAACACAGCAAAGCTGGAATATCATTCTTAAATTGAATGAAATTAGCTTTTGACACAGTCTGTATGGTTACCTCAGCCGTGAGTGGTTTCGTATCTGAAAGGCAAGATATGCTGTATGTATACAGGCAGTCCTAGACTTACAACAACTTGTTTAGTGACTGTTCAAAGTTACAATGGCATTGCAAAAGGTGACTTATGACCGTTTTTCACACTTAGGATCACTGTTGCATCCCCATGATCACATGATCAAAATTCAGATGCTTGGCAACTGACTCGTATTTATGATGGTTGCAGCGTCCCCAGGGTCACGCGATGCCCTTTTGACAAGCAGAGTCAATGGAGAAGCAGGATTCACTTAACAACCATGTTACTAACTTAACTTTCCTGCCATGACCGACTTAACAACAGTGGCAGGAAAGGTCATAAAATGGGGCGAAGCTCACTTAACAAACATTTCGCTTAGCAGCAGAAATGTTGAGATCAATTGTGATCGTGGGTCAAAGACTCCCTGTATATACAGTAATATTGCAACTGTTTTAGTGTATCCGAGCTCACATCTCAGGCCAGTCTAAGGACCATCGCAGGAAAAAGAATTGGTGGGAAAAAAAAACATTTCCCACTCAGCACATTTTCCAAATCCATTTTTCGTGGACTGGCTTTTCTTTAAAGACTTTATGAGGTAGTTTTTATTGTGCTTTTCCAGTCCGCCCTTCAAACCGATGCCAAGGGTGGCTTACGTACCCTACTGAAAATAAATTCATAATTAGAATCAATTTAAACCATATCGCTTACGAAAACGCCGTCACAGAGAGGCCAAAAGAGAAGGAGAGCAGGAATAAATAGCAGAGAGCATCGGAAGATTTGTTAAATGAAACCGAGTCTTCACTTGAGGTCAGAAAATTCTGTCAACGCTGCTAACATCGGATGTTTTTGCTTTGACAACAGTTGGAGATGCAACCCTTTTCTTTGTATGTTTTACTTTTAGAGTTAGAGTTAGAGTTAGATGATGTTGGGGGGGGGAGGAAGTTGCATGAGAGTTCAGCTAGACATAACAATGCTGGACCTAATGTGTGAACCAAGGTTATTGAAATAAGAGATGATAAGAATTGGCAGGCTGGAGGTCTGGAGGGAAAGCCTGCATTTCAACTAATTGGAGAATGTGATTTATGACTGTTAATTGGAGGAGGGAATTGTCCTTTGATACTATGTGCTCAGGGGAGGGGAATCCAGTTTTTGGCTTCACTTATGTTAGTGCCGATGTTATGCTTCTTTAATAAAGATTCTTTAAGGTAAACAATGCTGAAGTTCTTTGAAGAGTTTCATCTGTCGGAACCATGACACAGTCCCCAAAAGCTACACAGAGACCCTCTGCCATAAAAATAAATCCTCAGTCAGATTCAAGCAATTAAAGGGAGGGGAAAGCAGATGATATTTTGGGGGGGATATTTGTATCGAAATTACAAGCACAGGGATGTCCCCCTGTTTCTTTAAAAAAAAACAAAATGGCAGCCAATATCGCACGATTGAAACGCAATATTGGCCACCACCTTAATTTTTTGATCCCTTTGCCCTTGCAGACCCTCTTGAGGAGCCAAAAATGGGATAGACTTTTGATGGGGTGTCCTGCAAAGTCCACCGAGGAGAAAATTTAAATAGAGATGGACTTACAGCAGTTCATTTAGTGACCGTTCGAAGTAACAACACTGAAAAAAGTGACTTATGAGCATTTTTCACAGTTACAACCTTTGCAGCATCCCCATGGACCTGGGATCAAAATTTAGATGCTTGGCAACTGACTCACACTTATGACGGTTGCAGTGTCCCAAGGTCACGGGATCCCCTTTTGCGACCTGGTGACAAGCCAAGTCAACGAGGAAGCCAGATTCACTTAAGAACCAAGTTACTAACTTATCAACTGCAGTGATTCACTTAACAACGGTGTCAAGAAAGGTCGTAAAATGGGGCAAATATCTCACTTAACAACAGAAATTTGGGGCACAATTGTGATGGTAAGTCGAGGACTACATGTGCTGCCAGAGAATTAATCTGCTCTGCAGTCTGCTTTTACTGCAACACAAGGGAGTAAAAAAAAAAAAAAAGGGAGGCTCCTTAGTTCTTCTCCAATGTCTTACTTTGTTTGACCCTAAGTGGAATTCATAATAATCTGATGATAATTAATTAATTTTCTGGAACATCATATGGTTCATGCTGCTAAAGCTAATGAGGTTAATTGCACTGAAACCAGCAAGACGGATTACTTGCTATTCATATCGTTAGTTAAACCCTCCGGGGAAGATGCTTAGTATCAACTAATTAAAGAAAATAGTTGCAACTGGATCAATGTTTTAAAACAATGAGCCCTGGATATCCTTCGTTATAAAAGATATTCGGTGGCTTTTTTTCCTCCATTCTGCAGTGGTCTTTGGGGCAGGATGGCTTGATAACTACATGCCATATTTCTCATGATGGCAAATACGTCGCCTCTGGCTCTGATTTGGAGAATGCGTTATTCGTCTGCAATGTTGAAGATGGCGAACAGGTGGCTTTGATCAGAGGTAGAGCTTCTGAACTTTTGGTTGATGTCCTTTTCTTCTGGTAAAAGGTGAAGTCAGTAGCATCCCACGTTCGGGTGGAGTGGGGTCTTAATTGGCAAGATGACATGCTTGGAATGAGCAGGAGTTTGTTTACATTCAACTCTCGGTCCGTCATCTTGAAGATTTTGGCCCTCAATCCCATAAACACCACTAGATGAAATATACCTGAGGTTGTGGAAGTATGGTTGTGTGAATTGGGTACGTCTAGTCTAGTGAGAAGAAGTACTAGAACTGACATGGTAGCACTGTTCCAATATTTGAGGGGCTGCTACATAGAAGAGGGGGCGGTCAAGAGGGCAGGACAAGAAGCAATGGATGGAAACCAATCAAGGAGAGGAGCAACCTAGAACTAAGGAGACATTTCCTGGCAGTAAGAATAATTAATCAGTGAAACAACTTACCTCCAGAAGTTGTGGGTGCTCCAACACTGGAGGATTTTAAGAAGAGATTGGACAAACTACTTTTCTAAAATGATACAGGGTCTCCTGATGGAGCAGGGGGTTGGACTAGAAGACCTCCAATCCCTTCCAACTCTGTTATTCTGTTATAATGGGCCAGACTTTGATCACTGCAATATCTGTAGGATGGGAAGGACAACCGTTTGGTGGTTGGAAGCCAAAGCAAGTGATACTTGTAAATTCTTCCTTTCAGATTACCACAAAAGTACAATTCAAAGCTGCCGGTTTGATCCTGTCAACCAGAGAATAGCTACGGTGTCATCTGACATGTCTATCAAATTCTGGGATATCATTGCAAGGGCTACCACAGTCACCATTGAAAAGTAAGAAACCATCGTGGTACGATTTTATTATGAATTTGTTGGATTTAACTAATATAGTATATTATATATTGGCAACGATTATCTACTTGCCAGTTGACTGGCTTCCATAAAATTCAAAACTGGCCCTGAATAATGCAACATTGGCCTGTTGTCCACTTTATTCTAAATGTGGCTGTTACCCAAAACAGAAGAACTCAGAAGATCATTCATTGGTTCATTAATCTTCCCTGCAATTACACACCGACAGCCCTTTTGTCCTTTAGATAACTACCTCTCAGCCTGTTCATGTGAAATGTCACGTTTCTTTCAGGGCACACAACAACGCCATTGCAGATTGCTGCTTTTCCTTGGACGGTCATTATCTGTGCACAGCAGGGTGGGATGAAAATATCAAGTTATGGGATGTCCGTACAGGAGAATTCCGGTCTCATGGACCTATTACTTTGGAACAAGGTCATATCGGCATTGTTGGCTGCTGTGATGTTAGCAAAGACGGTGAGTTATGCAGGATGAATGTTCTTAGCATCCACAGAGAGAGAGAGTCTTATTTCAGGTGGTCTCCCCAATTCACTTTAAACAGCTTTCTCCGAAGCGATTAAATTACTGCTCTTATAATTTGAACTAAATTGAATTTGCATTGCCCTTTAATTAGCCTTATAAAACACTCTATAATTGATACAGTTATTATGATGTACTCTTTCCTTCTGGCCCCGGGAATAAAATATTGTCCATCCAAAAAGTATAGAATGGGAAAAATTATGCTCAAATCACGAGTTAGTCATTCGATCTATCTCTTAAGTCTCTTGTGGAAATAAAGTGGAATAAAGTATCTTCACAGAAGGATTTTTATGAAGACATCTGTTTCCCTCCCCCCTCATTTAGGTCAATACTTTCTCCATCTTCTGGCTTATAAAAAATACCTTTGAACTGACCTCCATTGCCAGTGATTATCTCCAGGCAATATTTCTTATCAGCATATATAATAATCTGAATAAAAGCTATTATGATTCTCTCTCTCTCTCTCTCTCTCTCTCTCTCTCTCTCTCTCCTATCTTCTACCATCAATCTCTTTTATTTCTATTATCCATCTATCAACATTTCTCTTTCTGTCTCTCTGTCTCTCTCTATCTCTGTCTCTCTCTGTCTCTGTCTGTCTGTCTGTCTGTCTCTCTCTCTCTCTCCCCCCCCCCCCTCATCCTCATCCCCATCTATCTATCTGAATTTTTACATGGGCATAAATAATTGATTTCCAGGATTAATCTAAAATCATATTGAGTCTTCTTTAGAGAAGACTCATGAAGTGACCACAGATAGCCAAGAAAATAAACCAATGAATCATCTAACAAACGTATCCAGAGTTCTCACACAAACGACCAGACTAAATTATCATACTTTGCACACATTATGTAAAGACATTAAGTTCTCTGAGAAAGATGGAAAGAAAGAAGAAAACCAGCAACTAAGTGAATTAATTGATTACAGTGGAGATAGGTTGAAAGACTTGAGGGAGCAGGTTGAGGATAGATCATTCTGGAGTAAGTCTATTTTATGTGGTTACTGGGAATCAACACTGATTCAATGGCATAGAAATCAGTCAGTCGGTCAGTCAATCAATCAATCAGACTTCTTGTGACCTAAAGTTATTCATTTATATCACTAGCTGGTAGTGGATGAAGTATTGTTCCACCAAAATCTGAATTCGTTTTCCTATTTAAGTTAGACATTTGTGTCTCCTTTGCATTTCTTATATATTCCAACTCAGTTCCTATTCCTTTATTTCTATTGTGTGCTAAGTTGTTATTATTATTACTATTACTATTATTATTATTACAGTTTATCCTATGAAAGTTTATTCACGTGCCAATCCCATAATATTTAATGTTGACAGTGTTCAGGGTTTTGTTTTGTTTTTCCTCCCAAAATATTTAGACAAGCTCAGAATTTCTGCTTGCTTTAAAAGCATTCGTTGTCCTTTGGGGGGCCTCAGAAAGTATGATGAGAGGTGACTTAATGCATCATCCGAATTATATTTCAGAGTTTTTGCAGGACAGCTTTGGCTCTTTAACAATAACAATAGAAGGCCATCACATGTCGCATTATTGTGTTCTGCTTCAGCCTCGTGTGTGGTATCTGGAGGTTATGACAAAACCATCAGCGTGTGGGACATAGAAGAAGCATACAAAAAGATATCCTTAAAGGTACTGAAACAGGGTCGCTCGCTTGTGCAAGGGGTTGAACTAGAGGACCTCCAAGGTCCCTTCCAGCTCTGTTTTTATGTATGCTGATTAGTGTACATTTAAAGTGACAATAAAGTTTTCTATTCTATTCTATTCTATTCTATTCTATTCCCATTTTCATACTCTACTCTACTCTGCTCTATTCTTCCCATTTTCATATTCTATTCTATTCCCATTTTCATATTCTATTCCATTCTATTCTATTCCCATTTTCATATTCTATTCCATTCTATTCTATTCCCATTTTCATATTCTGTTCTATTCTACTCTACTCTATTTTATTCTTCCCATTTTCTATTCTATTCTATTCTATTCTATTCTGTTCTATTCTATTCTCATTTTCATATTCTACTCTACTCTGCTCTGCTCTATTCTATTCCCATTCCCATTTTAATATTCTATTCTATTCTATTCCCATTTTCATATTCTATTCTATTCTACTCTACTCTACTCCACTCTACTCTATTCTATTCCCATTTTCATACTCTATTCTATTCTATTCTATTCTATTCTATTCCCATTTTCATATTCTATTCCATTCTATTCTATTCCCATTTTCATATTCTATTCTATTCTACTCTACTCTATTCTATTCTTCCCATTTTCTATTCTATTCTATTCTATTCTATTCTATTCTATTCTATTCTATTCTATTCTCATTTTCATATTCTATTCTATTCTATTCTATTCTATTCTATTCCCATTTTCATATTCTATTCTACTCTACTCTACTCTGCTCTATTCTGTTCTGTTTTATTCTATTCTATTCTGTTCTATTCTATTCTATTCTATTCTATTCCCATTTTCATATTCTATTCTACTCTACTCTATTCTATTCCCATTTTCATATTCTATTCTATTCTATTCTATTCTATTCTATTCTATTCTCATTTTCATATTCTATTCTATTCTATTCTAGTCCCATTTTCATATTCTATTCTACTCTACTCTACTCTGCTCTATTCTGTTCTGTTCTATTCTATTCTATTCCCATTTTCATATTCTATTCTATTCTATTCTATTCTATTCGTTACTTTTTCCATCACCTCTTTGCTCAGCATTCATAGTTGCTCAGCATGCTTCAGAAGCGTCCCACCTTTGCCATGTTCTTAGTACCAGCCGCTGCTCAGTCATTTGTGAAAGCAAAATAGCAATTGAATTGTGGTTGCTAAGCAACTGAAACATTATTCTTTGGATGATTCATGATCAACCGTTGTAATTATTTCAGCCATGGCCCGTGACACTCTTGAAATTGGAATCTGTTAAACTCAAAGAAACCAGAAAGTTTGTATAAACCAGACTGGAACAACTGAAATTCTCAAATGATTATATTCATTTTATTGGTACTACGGTAGATGGGAACTTAGTAAAAGGAGGCATTGCTGCTATACATTAGAAAGGTATAATAGATGATAGAATAATATATATATTGTCTATAAGGCTATAAACTATGAAAGACTATAAGATTTCGTACCCGTCCATTTTTTTGGCTGTTAAAGTCATATGTGAAGCCCTAAATGTACAAATAAATAAAAATAATAAAATCAAAATGAATGCTTGGAAAGGGAGATGTTATATTTACTTTGAATAAAGCAGAAACTCTTACACATCATCGTAAGGATTTTGGAACAGGAAGTAAGCAAGAAGCATCATCAAGGGCCAGTTTGAGATACTAGTTAAGGGCACCATGCTAGAAACTGAGATAGTGTGTTCTAGCACTGCTTTAGGCACAAAGCCAGCTGGGCGACCTTGGGCCGGTCACTCTCTCTCAGCCCTAGGAAGGAGGCAATGGCAAATCTCTTCTGAAAATGTTGCCAAGAAAATTGCAAGCAGTCGCCAGGAATCAAGACTCACTTGGAGGTATAAAACAACTACAAGCACCGTCTAGTCCAGCATGCCTCAAAATTGGCAGCCTGAAGATGTGTGGACTTCAACTCCCAGAATTCCCCAGCCAGCATTCCCGACAGCTGGCTGAGGAATTCTGGGAGTTGAAGTCCACACATCTTCAGGCTGCCAGTGATCTAGCCCAACCTTCTGCAGTGATCAGGGAAATCAACTGAACCATCCATGAGAGTTTTGTTCTGGGCATTTTTTTGGCTTCCTCTTTCCATCTATTATCCCACCAATCTAAAGTTTTTTTTTAATATAAATTATATCAGTGTCAGAAGTAGTTGTCAATGAATTGCATATGCTTCTACAATGGAAAAGGCTCTTCAGCCTGCTTCTCCAGATTACCTTGGATGTTACTTTTTTTCTCAGTAGCCTTAAGAGCATAGCTAAAAATCTAGCTAAGAATGTGCTTTATTTCTTACCGCTGATAAATTATGTTTCTGCAGGGTCATGCCGATTGGGTGACAGATGTGGCCATCAGCAAGGACAAGAGGCTTGTTGTTTCCTCCTCAAAGGTATTATCAAAAGTTGTCAGAGAATGCACTGAAATGTTCCCACGTTCACATTAGGGCATTATCTCTCCGATGATGAATCAGCCTTGCAAAACGATCTTCTAACCAGAAAATTCTCAAAACTCTTTATCGAACCAAAATAAACAAATCCACAAAAAGAAAAACAAAATGGAGGAAGTAAAAATAATTAACACCAGTCTGTAGAAGCAGCTACAGATAGATTGTGAAAGCAGGAAATTATTCTTCAAATTTTTGCTTTTTTCGGGTTTTCAGATTGTTTCTGGTGACATCCAGGGCTGCCTGAAAAGCTGCAGGGATGGAGGAATGAGCAAACCAATGATATTTTTTTTCAATTTTATCTTTTATAAAATATAAGGAAAAATGAAAATAATGGAAAAGTGGGGGGGGGGGGGAATGAGAAGAGGAAAAAGTGTAGAGGAAAAGGGGGAAAAAAGAGAGAAAAGCATTAACTTCCAACTCTTTTTTAGTGCAGTAGATTAAGGCAATAACACGCAACCTCATCTTTTTACTTTTATATAGTAATATATGCTAGCCATTTCTATAAAAGCAAACCTATCAATTCAGACACAGCTCCATTCCAAAGCAAACTCCCGAGATGCCTCAAAATACAGAAACTAGACAGTTTTTTTACATTAACAAAACTCAACATAATTTTAGAAAGCAAAGGGGGTAAAACACATATCAATTGAAACCAAATTAGACACAGGGAGTCCTTGACTTAAACCGTTTGTTTGGGGACCGTTTGAAGTTACAGCGGCACTCAAAAAAGAGATTTATGACAAGTCCCTGCACTTATGACCACTGCAGCATCCCCAGGATGACAGGATCAAAATTTGGGTGCTTGGCAACCAGCATGCATTAACATACGTTGCAAGGTCCTAGGATCACGTGATTGGTGTTTGCAGCTTTCCCAGCTGGATTCTGACAAGCAAAGTCAATGCGGGAAGCCAAATTTACTTAACCACCACCTGAATCACTTAATGGCAGTGTCTCGCTTAACAATCATGGACAAAAGGTTGTGCAACTCATTTAACAACCACCTTGCTTAGCAACGGGAATTCTGGCACCCAACTATCATCGTAACTCGACGACTACTTTATTGTCTATTCCTTGGAAGGACAACTGTATGTCGAGGTAACACAACAGATTGGCAGGGCTTAGTCAGTTCATTTATTAAGTTACTAAAGAATCCTTGCAACCAAAAAAACAGCGAAAAAACATGGAGTATTGCAGTCAACTCAAGGACCAAGCCTTGTCTGGAAGAATTGGAATTCTGTTCATTGATACAAAATTCTCCTCATATTATAGGACCAGACTGTGAGATTATGGGATATTAAAAATGCCAATGAAATCCCCATGGTGATTCAAGCTGTGAAAACGAGAGGTTCCAAGATTTCCAAGGTCAGCATATTTAATAGAAATGACTGATTTTCAGAATAGAATAGAATAGAATAGAATAGAATAATGGAATGGAATGGAATAGAATAGAATAGAATAGAATAGAATAGAATAGAATAGAATAGAATAGAATAGAATAGAATAATGGAATGGAATGGAATGGAATAGAATAGAATAGAATAGAATAGAATAGAATAGAATAGAATAGAATAGAATAGAATAGAATAGAATAAATGGAATGGAATAGGAATAGAATAGAATAGAATAGAATAGAATAGAAATAGAATGGAGAATAGAATAGAATAGAATAGAATAGAATAGGAATAGAATAGAATAGAATAGAATAGAATAGAATAGAATAGAATAGAATAGAATAGAATAGAATAGAATAGAGCTGGAAGGGATCTTGGAGGTCTTCTAGTCCAGCCCCCTGCTCAAGCAGGAGAACCTATACTATTTCAGATAAATGGTTGTCCAGTTTCTTCTTAAAAATCTCCAGTGTTGGAGCATTCACAACTTCTGGAGGCAGATTGTTCCACTGATTAATTGTTCTAATAGTCAGGAGATTTGTAATCATAAGATACCAACAAGAAAGATACCAAGTAGAAAGACGAGAAGGATACTAGTAATACAGCCCTGCTACAATGGGTAAATATCCTTAGACATAAGACACTGCTGTGGGAATGAGGTGTTCAACAGGGTCATGGCACAAGGGAAAAAACTGTCTTTGTGTCGAGTTGTTTTGGCATGCAGTGCCCTATAGTGGCATCGTGGGTGGGGGGAGCTGAAACAGTTCATGTCCAGGATGTGATATAGATATCTGTAGATATATTCTCAGCCCACTTTCTGACCCATACAATATACAGGTCCTCAGTGGAAGGTAGGCTGGTTATAACTGTTTTTTCTGCAGTCCTAACTATCCTTTTAAGTATGAACCTGTCCAGTTTAGTTGCTGTACTAAACAGCAACAACAACATTGCCCTGAAAAATGTGAATTCTGAATGTTGGGTGTCGTGAAGCATGCAAATAGGCAAACATGTGTTTTATTAAAATTTAACGCACTCTTCCTTCAAGATTACTCAGTCGAAATGTAGGAGATTCATATTATAAATAAATGCAGCGGGTTATGTGGCTGCACTCCTGGGCCCACCTATTTAGGGATTAGCCAGATTGCCGTACAGTGTGATTTATTCTGAATATAGACCGCAATCTGTATGAATATTAAATTCAAAATTAGCTCCCACTGTCATTATTGAGATTTTTTCACAACGCTCTATTGTGTTGGTTGGTTTGATGCCAGTTGTTATATTTGTTATTTATTGTTTTGGTTATGTTTTTTTTTAATCTTGTTTTGATTTGCTGTTAACTACCTAGGGTCATTTGTTTGAGATGGGTGGCTACATAAATTGAATATATACATAAATAAGTTACTGATTTGATTTCTAATTATTTATTAGCTCATTCTAGCTAGTTATTCGTCTCAATATGCTGACTCTTGGCAGTACGTACAGAATTAAAGCCGAACAACAAGAAATAAAGATGAAATCATGATCTGGGGACAAACCCACCTTACAATAATGGCCTCACTTAATCACTAGACTCTCCTGCCCCAAAGAACATCCAGATCTTGAAGAACCTTACAAACTGCTAGCACAGATAAGGGTCTGGTGCTCCAGAGAGCAGGTGATGGACAGAAAAAACACACTTCCAGTTGACCCTTTTTAATAGAGGCCCACAAAATGCACCTTGTGTTTGATCTAGTGCAGGGGTGTCAAACTGCTGACCCACGGGCCGAATGTGTCATGGCAAAACCGCGTCCGCCCCATTGTCAGCAATGCAAAAAAAGTCACGATATGTCGTGACACTTCACGTGATGTTACGAGTTTGATACCCATGCTCTAGTGGGAAGAGCAGAAAGAAATAGACAGAGGTGGTGACATGAGTTCCTCTGACAAGCGTTGAAGTCATGTCACACGTTTCAAGCTGACATGAATTGATATCACCTGAGTGACATAGTCAGCCCCATACAGAGAGCAAAAACGAGCTGCAGGCAGCCTTTCAGATATTATTAGAGTCTACATTTCATCAGCTCTAGTCTAGAAAGAGCATTGAGAAATAGTGAATGTTGGCATTTAACTGCATGCAGATGGCCAGATGTTGGCCAGTTTTTGGCATGGAAGAGTGGGCAGTTCGAGGAATAGTGTCAAATGCCTATTACAGCTGAATTTCTGATATATCCTCTTTTAACACCAAAATCCAGTGTGAAGCGTGTCAGAAATCTTTTCTGATCTTCCGGAACCAAGAAGACACTATAGAAACCCGGTGCGTCTTCTGCCGATTAGCATCTCCCAACCAAGTGGTTTTACCGCTGCCACCCGCTTTGCCTCCAGATCTCTAAAGGATTCCGCGGCGAGCTGATTTTAAAACATTTGTGAACGTTGCAATCTTTTTTTTTTCCTGTCATGTTGTGTGGACTGTGTAACCCACCTATGTAACCTTAAACAAATAAAATAAAATAAAACAAAAATCTCCACACCGAATTTACCTTCTGCCTAATTTCTGCGGTGAGATGAAATAAATGGCATAAACAGAATCGTTGAAAGGATTCAGTTCATCCTGCTAATATGCTGATATGGGTAGTCCATGACATACGACCATAACTGAGCCCAAAATTTATGTTGTTAAGTGAGACAGTGGTTAAGTGAGTTTTGTCTCATTTGAACGACCTTTCTTGCCACAATTGTTAAATTAGCAACACGATTGGTATGTGGCTTCCCCGTTAACTTTGCAGAAGTTTGCAAAAGGTGATCACGTGACCCTGGAACACTGCAACTGTCATAAGAACATGCCAGTTGCCAAGCCTCTGAAATTTGATCATGTGATCATGGAGACGCTGCGACACTTGTAGGTCTGGATAATGGTCATAAGTCACTTTTTTCAGAGCCGTTGTAACTTCAAAGGGTCACTAAGTGAATGATTGTAAAAAAAGGACTATTTGTATTCGCAAATGTGTTGGTTGTCCTGGTTTTGACAGATGAAACTCTTCAAAGAACTTCGAGGCATTGTTTACCTTAAAGAATCTTTATTTTGAGTAGCATAGCATCAGCACTAACATAATCGAAGCCAAAAACTGGATTCCCCTCCCCTGAGCACATAGTATCAAAGCACAATTCCCCCCACTAATTAACAGTCATAAATCACATTCTCCAATTAGTTTGAAATGCTGGCTTTCCCTCCAGTTCTCCAGCCCACCAATTCTTATCATCTCTTATTTCAATAACCTTGGTTCACACACTAGGTCCAGCATTGTTATGTCTAGCTAAGCTCTCATGCGCATTCCTCCCCCCAGATCATCTAACTCTAGCTCTAACTCTAAGAGTAAAACATAAGATGGAAATGATTGCATCTCCAACTGTTGTCAAAGAAAAAACATCCGATGTGAGCAGCGTTGACACTGGCTGCCCCAATTCCACGTGGCTGTCGTTTATGCATCCCTGGAAATTCTTCCTTGCTCTAAGAGAAGAAACGTGATCTGTATCCAGAGGCAGTGTCAAACATGGACACACCATGAACGATGACCTAAGCCCTAATTAACAGATCGAAAAGTGACCTATTGCTATTATTTATACATGCATCTGTAGAAAAAACTGTGGGGTTTAAATCATGTTTCTGACTCAACGGAGAAGCCTTTTCATATTATTATATTGCTTTCAGTTCAGTTCACAAATTTAAGTCTTGCAGAAGTCAAGACTTTCACTATTAATTGATTACGACTGGTTCTTGTGAGTTATTGGTCGGGGGGGGGGGTTTCAGACATCATAAATATGGGCGACATGAAAAGCATGCATGATAAGGGGAAAAACCCCTTATGAATTATAGCACATTTGCACACTGGCAGGAAATTGATCTCATTCAAAATAATAAATTGCTTTATAGAATTCGAATAATTTTAGTTCATGGCAGGAAAAAAAATTGGTGTACAGTCAGCCTGTAATAGCTTTTAGAGATAGCTGAATAATGGAATAAACCTTGAACTAATGTAAGAGTTTAAAGTGCTATATTGTGTAAATGAAATTGCTCCTAATCCTACTGAATGTTTTCTCCCAGATAAATTATACAGAATTGTAATAAAATGTCACTTTAGGAAAAAAAATGTGCGTCGTATTACCCTCTTCAATAAATGTAACAGTGCTTTCATAAAAGCATTTTAAATACATTATATGTCATTCTGGGCATTTCCTTTTCATAATATTATAAAACTGTGATATATCGCTCCTGGAGTTTATTTTCCTGGTAATTATTATTGAACTGAATAATTCATGGATTTAGGGAAAAGGTTGGCCCTGATTTAATTAAACAATATTTTTTACCACAGGCAGTATTATTTTTCCTCATTCTCGATTTCCCTCAAGACTAGGATTATTCTTGAAGGCGAAAGCTGGCTGTTGAACGGAATTTTATCTGACATAGCCCTCCATGTATTTATTTATTTATGCACGAAACAGATTTATACAGCTGCCCAAATCACACAAAATGGTATATAGGTAGTCCTCGATTTACGGCTACAGTTGAGCCCCAAAATTTCTGTTGTTAAGTGAGACATTTGTTAAGTGAGTTTTGCCCCATTTTATAGACTTTTCTTGCCTCGATTGTTAACTGAATCACTGCAGTTGATAAATTAGTAACCGGGTTGTTAAGTGAATCTGACTTCCCCATTGACTTTGCTTGTCAGTAGGTCACAAAAGGGGATGACATGACCCTGGGACACTGCGACGGTCATAAATACGAGTCAGTTGCCAAGCGTCTGAATTTTGATCACATGACTATGGAAATACGGCAATGGTTGTAGGTGTTAACGGTTCGTTTAGTGACTATTCAAAGTTACAACAAGGGAAAACGTGACAGGATTGTTTTTCAGTTACGACCTTTGCAGCATCCCCATGATCATGTGATCAAAATTCGGATGCTTGGCAGCTGATTCATATTTATGACCCTTGCCGTCTTCCAAGGTCATGCGATCCCCTTTGGCGTCTTCTGACAAGCCAAGTCAATGGGGAAGCAGATTCACTTAACAACCGGGTTACTAACCCATCAACTGCAGCGATTCACTTAACGGTGGAAAGAAAAGTCTCATTTAACAACAGAAATGTTGGGCTCAATTGTGGTCGTAAGTCGAGGACCACCTGTAGGGACCAAAGCTCCATGTATTATCAAGAGGAAATACGGGTTACAGACCGTATTGGGTTGATCCTCCCTAAGAAGGGAATAGGGTACACAATCCCAAAAGTCAACACTGCCAATCAGGGGTCGGTGATCACAACCCAACTGAGCTCCAATGTCCTAACTCTCAGTGTGAGGACAGCCATCTCCAGCTGGGTGGAGGTTGAGGGCAGGAAGTGATGGGGCTGGAAGTGCATCAAAGGGTTGACCAAGGTGGGTCAACCAGGTAGGAGAAAGTGGATGGACTGAACTGCGACTTTAAACATCTTTACTGAACTGCGACTTTAAACATTCAGGGGATGCCCCAAAGAAGAGGGAGTCAAGCTATTCTCCAAAGCCCCTGAAGGCAGGACAAGGAACTAATGGGAACTAATCAAGAAGAGAAGCAACCTAGAACTAAGGAGAAACTTCCTGGCAGTTAGAACAATTAACCAGTGGAACAACCTGCCTCCAGAAGCGGTGAATGCTCCAACACTGGATGTTTTTAAGAAGAGACTGGACAGCCCTTTGTCTGAAATGGTATAGGGTTTCCTGCCTGAGCAGGGGGTTGGACTAGATGACCTCCAAGGTCCCTTCCAACTTCTTCTTCTTCTTCTTCTTCTTCTTCTTCTTCTTCTTCTTCTTCTTCTTCTTCTTATTCTTATTCTTATTATTATTATTATTATTATTATTATTATTATTATTATTATTATTATTATCTTCAAAATCCATCATGCTTTGACTCCCTGGCAACGTTGCTTTTCCTGGAGGCTGGTTTTTATTGAAGAGGACCTACTAAAATGGCACTTCTGTCCCCAGCCTCTTGTGCTGAAAGAAAGTAGGGGATGGCAGTCTTTTTTATGCTAAATTGAAAGTAAAATATCCAGATGGCTCCGGCAAGCTGTGTCTGGGGCTGAGATCTCTTCTTTGCTCCTGGATACTCCCAATCACATCTTTTAAGGGTGACGTTTGCACGGCTGGGCACTGTTTTGCACCCCGCAATCCCAGGCAAAGCTCGCAGGAAGGATTTTCCCTCTTTCCAGTCTCTTTTGCTTTTCCCTCCAGCCACGCTCTTGCCAAGCGCGAAGACACATGAAGCCGGATCTGCGGCTGTGCTCGACAGCCGGCGCCGTGGCTTAGTTGGTTAAAGCGCCTGTCTAGTAAACAGGAGATCCTGGGTTCGAATCCCAGCGGTGCCTCTGGAGCGGGGACTTCAGTTTTGCGTTAGGGGGGGGAAATATATATATTTATTATATTATGCTTTTGCACGGTGGGACAGTCGGTGTTTGGGGAGACCTGCAGAAACGGGCTCTCTTTTAAAAGTGCAAAGAAAGCCCGTGCGAGTTTTATTTCCCAGATTTCTCTTCCTCTGCAGGCTTTCAAGGGATCTGATAGTGTGAACCCACCTGTCCTTAAGAGAGTCTTTTTTCTTGCAAATAATTCACATCTGGGATCAAACTTCCCTCTCTGCAGAGGGTTTTACAAGACTGGAAGGAAGAAAGGATGGAAGGAAGGAAGGAAGGAAGAAGAGAGAAGAAGGAAGGAAGGAAGGGAGAGAGAGAGAGAGAGAGGAAGGAAGGAAAGAAGGAAGAAGGAAGGAAAATGGAAGGAAGATGGAAGGAAGGAAGAAAGGAAGGAAGAAGAGAAGAGAGAGGAAGAAGGAAGGAAGGAAGGAAGGAAGAAAGGAAGGAAGGAAGGAAGGAAGGAAAAGAGAGGAAGGAAGGAAGGAAGATGGATGGATGGAAGGAAGGAAGCAAGGAAGGAAGGAAAGAAGGAGAGAAGAGGGAGAAAGGAAGGAATGGGGAAGGAGCAAAGAAGGAAGGAAGGAAAAAGAAAGGAAGGAAAGAAAGAAAAAAAAAGAAAAGGAAGGAAGGATTAGGGTGAGCTGATGCAGTTCCAAGTGTATCCTAGCTTTCTTTTCTAAAGAAGGAGCAAAGATCTTTGGGTTGCATCAAGAACAAGGAGGATATTTGGAAATTGCTATGAATGTTTCCACTACCTGACCAGCATCTTACCTAAGAGAATGTACTAAACTGTGTTCCTAAAGAAGAAATAGTGTCCACAATAAAGAGCCCCCTCCCACGATGAAAGTATTTAGGAACAAAGATTCTTCCCTTTCTCCTTTCCTGTATTTTTCTACCTGGCTAGCCCATCGTTCTCTGCTTCTCCTTCCATATCATTTCTCTCTCTTGTTTTTCTGGGGTGGCATTACAGCAGCCTGTTCTATGGGCTCGTTGGTGGAAAAAACTAATACAAATTAAACTGCCTTCTTCCTGTGCAGTTGGAAGCAGAGACGGAAAACAATAAACACAGCCTGTTTAAATGAGGCCAGGATCGCTTCCTATTGCATTGCCATGAATCTTAAAGCAAGCTGTTAAGTCAAAGATGCAATCCCTCCATCCATCAGTTGCCAGGATGGTGTCAAGTTAGAGAAGCAATGAGAAATTTGTATATTAATTCTCCAGCCCTCTTTTTTTTTTTTTTCTTTTAAGTGTAGCTCTTGGGAGGCTGGAGATGAACTTGAAGAGCAAAACTGAATGTTAACCAGCTTGCTTTATAAGGTCAGGAGCTGGCTTTATAAAGGTTTGCAGCACATTCTGCTTCCAAAGAACTTCACAGTGTAGATGTAAGCATTTTTGGGGTGGCTTGGCTGGGGGACACGATCTGGATCCAGCCCGTTTGGTTAGTATGGAATTCAACCTACTAGCATAATATCTTTCTGAAAACACAGACATAATTGCAGTACAGGTAGTCCTCGATTTACAACAGTTCATTTAGTGACCGCTCTAAATGACAACGGC